TATCCAACCCGTTTTCTCTTCTTCTTTTGATTCATTAGTGTTGTGCTGTCTTTCCATAGAGGCTGAGCTAAAGCTGCCACAGCTGCTGAGGGAAATGCCTGTTGGAGTTCAGAAGGAGGGAGCCCAAGGTTTGCTGCCTCTGCCGGTATCGTACCACCCTGCTGGTCCCAGTGTTCCCCCGGGGCCTGCGCCGCAGCCGGCAGACGTCGCAAATGACAGTAAGCCTCCAGACGAGCTTTTACAATGCCCTAGACAATCTCTGCTGTTTATCACATTGATACAATTCAATTTGACTGCAAAGCCAGCAGAAAACGTCAGTCATTATCCTCTATTTCCACAGCTCTGATTCTTAGAAACCTCGGGCCCCATACAACAGTGGAAGCTATTTTGTCGGCGTTGGCTCCATTCGCCACCCTCTCCCCTTCCAATGTTCGCCTGATCAAGGACAAGCACACACACCTAAACAGAGGCTTTGCTTTTCTGCAGCTTTCTACTATAGTGGTAAGGGTAGAGAAAATACGTTTGATTTACTGACTCGCATGTTCCAGGTCAAACAGTAGAACCTCATGTCTGGCATTATTGGATTTATTTGGGAATGACTTTATAGCCAAATGAAGCTGTGGAGATTTGTTTGTTGTTGTGAATTAGCCATACAGTTCAAACATTGAAGGAGATTACTCGCAAACATACAGATTAAACCATAGTATACTTTTTCAATGTTCGTTGTTTTATCAGTACAGCAGCCATACTGGAGCTGACCTCACGGTAAAAACATGAACGCATCACATGTTCTTTAGAGTCTTGTCATCTAGTACATCCTAGGGAATTTAAATGTCTGCAAGAAAATAAGCAGGATTCAAGAACTTACTATTTGCTTTTTGCGCTGATTTTTAAAAATAAACTTATCTTAAACATTAAAGGTCATTAGTAGATCATTATTATTTTTTTAATCAACAGGAGGCCTCACAGCTGCTTCAGATTCTTCAGGCTCTGCAGCCCCCCCTGTCTATTGATGGGAAAGCCATTGTAGTGGAGTTTGCCAAAGGTTCCAAACGGTAAACTCTTTAACAAAGAATGCTGTTAAATATACTTGCAAATTTAAGAGGGGAAAAAACTGGATCAAAGTACAACACAGAAAAAAAAAATCTAGTTTAGTTATGAGATAAAGTGTGAGATTAAAAAAGACTGCTTTAGCCAACACTACAAAATCAATAATGACACTTTCTGTTGTTCTTATCAACATCAGTGATGTCTTTGTGACTGAGGGGAGCAGAGTGAGCGCGGCTACAGTGGCCAGCACTGCAATAGCCGCTGCACAGTGGGCTATATCACAGGTAACTTATCTAGCTTCACTTACTAATAAGGTGAAATGAAGGCATCCCGACCGAAATGCTTATTTGTCTACTGTTTGTTGTGCTTTATGTTTTATTTTTAGAACACTCAGAATGGATCAAATGAGGATGCAGCAGTTTACCAGCAGGGAGCAGCAGTGACGTACAGCCAAGAAGGACAGAGCTATTCTGGGGCAGACGGCGTCGCTTTAAGGATCCAGACGGACTCCAGGATTGCACCCCTGGTTGGTGCAGGAGCAGCACTAAATGGAGCATATACAGGAGGAACTCCAGGTTGGTCTGACTGATTCTTCTAGTAGTCTGTAACAGTGCTGTTTAATATTTCTGCAGAACAGTATTTGCTCATGATGTTTCCTTGCTCGTCTGTAGCTGTTATCTCATCTGAGGCAGTAAAACTTGGTCCAGCAGCTGGACAGCTGTCTCTCATCCCAGCAATCTCCACACCAGCCACACAGGTACATAGATTTTTTTTTTTTTGTTTTCCATTCTCTTCCTGTATCTTCCCAACTCGTTGTTTTAAGAGTTCTGCCTCTTCACAGGTTGAGATTGTAGGAAAACCACAGCCAGCTGCTCCTAATCAGCCTGCCATCCCCGGCACCGAACACGAGCTCAAACAATATCGTAAGTATTTCCTGCAATTAGACTTCTTGCAAAACTGCAGGTGGTGAAATTTCCTATAATTCAAAACTTTTTTTTTTCTTGTATATTTTTGCAGCTGTGCCAGATGTGTCTACTTACCAGTATGATGAAAGCTCAGGCTTTTATTATGACCCATTCACAGGACTCTATTATGACCCAAATTCCCAGGTAAACTGTCCACTCTGAACAAATTGCAGAGAACAGAACAGAAACATTTTGAATACAAGCGAGCTCATCCTTACGACTTCTTTTTGCTTTTGGGGTTCTTTCTCATGTCAGTACTACTACAACGCTAACACTCAGCAGTACATGTACTGGGATGGAGAGAAGCAGACCTACACTCCTGCTGCCAGCCAATCAAACGCTGAGGGTGCACCAGTGAAGGATGGGGCGTCCTCTTCGGACAGCACAGCAAGCAAAGAGAAAAAAGAGAAGCCAAAGAGTAAAACTGCTCAACAGGTACTCTACTAACTGGATACAAATTTAAGAGTTGTGATATTTATTGAAATAAACTAAATTTTTTCTTTTAATTTTACGTTATGTTGGTATATTGTACAATGGAATATTAGGGCCAAAATAAAAAAAAATACAAGATTAAAGTCATAAAATTATGATAAAGTAATACGAGAATAAAGTCGTAATATGACTTTGTTCTCATAATGTATTTATTTTTCTTAGTATGGCCCTGTTTCTCTGTAATATTTCCTATTCTCACAGTTTTAAGAAAATAGAGCAAAATGTAGTACTGATCAAACTTAGTGTTATTTATCTTGACAAATTTAGTTTCCCCTTTCATTTACAGGGTTTTGTTTAAATTTTGAAATCCCTTTTTAATATGGAATAAAAACATCTTAAATCCCTGTGAAATTTTACAAATGTATTTTTTTTAAATTTGCTTTTCCAGATTGCCAAAGATATGGAGCGTTGGGCTAAAAGTCTCAACAGGCAAAAAGAAAACATGCGTTCTGTCTCTTCGTCCCCTGCTGTCGGCTCTTCTCGAGGGCCGGGTCACAGTCGCTTTGACGACTACAGAGAGTCTGCAAGTGCCGATGCAGGCTATGCTGTTCTGGAGAAAAAGGTGCCAATACATCTGCCTTATCAGAATGTCAGGAGGAGTGATTAACTTGCACATGTTTAGATTTGATCACCTATTTAAACCCACTTAATTTTCTGTCCTGCAGGGTGCACTGTCTGAAAGGGTGCCGAGTTTTCTGGACCAGATCCGACAAAGTACAGAAGTACGAACATGGCTGCAAGCTGTGGAAAAAAATGCATACGTTTTTATAGCATTTTTCTTCATTTGAGATGTATAAATGGAGCACAATATCCATCTCATTCTCCAATCTTCTGCCTTGCCACCAGCAGCATTCGCCCCCTCAGCAGTCCGGTCTGGTCCCAGCCTACAGCGCAGAAAGTGACAGTGAAGACGAAGGAGCTGACAAAGATGAGAAAGAAGGGAGACTGACAGACTGGGTGAAACTGGCATGTCTGCTCTGCAGAAGGCAGTTCCCTAGCAAAGAGGCCCTCATCAGGCACCAGCAGCTCTCTGAACTCCATAAAGTAATTTTAAAATATTAGTTTTAATAATCATTAACGGCTCACTAATTTATAAAATGCATGTGTAAGATGGTCTGTGTACGTTTAAGACGAAACGTTGTCATTGCCTTTGAATAATTTTCCTCCTTAACTTTGTGTGACCGTTCACCTTTGTCTGCGTCTTCAGCAAAACTTGGAGCAAAGAAAAGCTCAGCTGGAAGCTAGTGGCAAGGTCAGTTGAGCTTCAGAGAGAAGGATGGACACCAACGCTTATGTTCAATTCGTTCACTATAAATGTTCTCACTATTTCTGATGCAGAGATTAGCAGATGATGGCGAACCACCAGAAGCTAAGAAGAGGAAGTTCAGTCCAATGTAAGCAGTTTTGATGTGAAAAAACTTCTGATTGTTGTTTTGAAGCTTTGCTTTAAGATTTTAAGATTTATTTTGTAATGTGTTGCAGGCTTGAACGTGTACTTAACATTCTTTTTGTGTTACCTTTTTATAGTGACGGAACAGGAACTAGCCTTGGTGCAAGGATGCTGCAAGGAGGTGTGAAGAAGGGGCTTCTGTTGCGCAACATGAAAGTGGAGTGACCACTTGCATTTTCCGTTTCACCCATCCTAGGAAATGATGAACTTGTAAAAGTGAACATATTATTGCTATCTATATAAGAACCTCTTACTTGTAGATAGATATTATAATTACCTCAACAGTGGTAATAGTCTCATGAACTGATCCTGTAGCAGTAAATGTTGGAATATTGCACAAATTGCACCTTTTTCGCTTGCTTCCTGAATAATGCAGTTTTCATTTTTCACTGGCTTTGAGGTTTGTTTGTAATAAAAAAGTTTGGAAAAACATTTGCTGCTCAGAAATTGAGTATCTGTAGCCTACAGATCTTTATGCCAGCAAATGAGTCTATGCACCATAGATATTTTTTTTTTCTTTTAAGTTAATGCTGCATGCCTTGTCATTCAATGAATGACTGATCTGGGCATGCACTGTGTATATTTTTGAGTGAGCACTTTTCTACAGATGTTGAGGCGGGAACATTGTGGCTACCTGAGCTGTAAAAAAAGTCTCACTATCATTAATGTGTAGATAGGAATTGTCTGTTTATCTTGTTTTAATGTACAATGAAACTAATATTGTCTTTAGAAAATTATTTTTGTCTACGTATTTGTCAATTAATGTGACTGTTTAATTAAGCTAATATACATTTTAAAAAAAAATCAATCTTCACTGATGGAATGCATTTGAAAGGAGGTGGAATGTATTTCAGGTTTCAACATTTTAACCAGAAATTTCACCAGCTGTGTCTTTCGTTTATGTTCACATAAAGAAAGCGGAATATATTGCAATTGCCGATATGAATTTTGTGGTGTAATAGCTGTTTGTTTTTTTTGGCTCTACAAAAGCAGAGGTTTGTTCCTGATTTTTGGTTTTCGTGCAACTGCAACCCTCTTACTAAATCTGTTCGTGCTGCGCCTGCGTGGTTTCCATAGTAACGTTGTCAAACTTAGTTCTTTTGAAAACTGCTCAGGCGCCGCTCGCAAGCAAGCTGGTTGTACCCACTTTAAGACAATATTGGCCCCAATGTCTGACAATGATGATGTGTACCTGTCCCCCGAAGAACAGTTAGGGGAAGATGCGCCTGCTGAAGAAGGCGAAGAAGGGGAAGAAGCCGATAAGGTTCGTGTTATAGCGGTAGACTAAAGACAGTTTTAAAACAGTCCTTAATTTAGCTACTCATGTCAGTTTTGAGTCCTTAAAAGCCATATGTACATTTCTATTACAGTTCTCAAATGTTTATTCAGTTTTACTTCTGCCAAAAAAGCTCGTTTAGCCCGTTTCTACACCTGTAATGAGCTACTATAGGAAACTAATAAAAATGTTGCAGAATCCGCTACTAGCCAACGTGCGAACAGGTAAACTGTCTTGACATTATTCATACCACTGGCAGAGTTAAATTTGAAATTACTTCAAACAGGAAGTTCCTCATATCAAATTTTAAATATATTTCTTAAAATGTAAAAAGACCATAAGTTGTGGAAAAAAAATTGTATGATAAAAATAATTATCAATGGAAATATCTTTATGGGCACCGAACCCTTAAAACTTCTGACGAGCTTTTAAATTAATCACAAACAATTCCATCTTGGACCCTTTCGAATGTGTTTGCATAGAAAAGTATATATTTGATTAAGTTTTGCTTGAAAATCAGGAATTCAATGTTTTGAACAGTGCCATTGCAACTGTCACCTGGCTTACTGTAAAGCGGCACTGAAATTTGAGTTTTAAAATGGCGCTCGATTCACATGACCGGGTTAAAAAAAAACATCTGAAAAAGTAAGTTTAGTCAAGTTAAATGTCTTAAAGTCCAAAAACCGCTTGTGAAAAACCTTGTCTTTCGGATTCTTATCACATTTAACAGAAATAAAGGCTTAAATAGCTGTCTGTGAGTAATTCAACTGTATAACGTGTTTCACTTAGTAAATTAAGTTACTGAAATCAATGGACTTTTTAAATAAAGATTTGTTGAATGTGACGACTGACCACAACAACCTTAAACGGAGATTATATTTCCTGCAGATGAAGCAGTAATCTGTCTTGCCGTTTTCCATGCTATCATGACTTGGGAAGAAATGGTCTGCAGCAGACTCCAACCCATCCTGAAAGCACTCAGTGTTTTGCAGAGAATGCGGGCACAGCTCTTAACATTGGTTATACACTGACAAGTTTGCTCTTATAAGAGCACACTACATTCCCACAGCAGCCCCTCAAACAATTAATAGTAAAGACTTTAAAACATTCAAACTTTGGTACTTTGGCCAGAGCCTTTACCTCCAATGTTTTTGTGTGTTTGTGTTTAAGTAACGTTCACAATAAAACTGGCTTCTCTGTGCTTCTCAGATTCAAGTGTTCCCATTGAACAAAGAGATCATCATTGAGGGGCTTTCATTGCTTTGTCAGACAGGAAAAAAACTGGAACATGCTTTCATCAAACTGGACCTTAAAGACAGGTAAGCAGACAAAGATCAGCTGAAAAATTTAATTTAGTGCCAGCCTTAACGGTCGGAAAGTGCGTCATGTTCAGAAATTTAAAATATCCAGACCGTATTTAGAGACTGAATTCTTTGCATGTAGATAGATTTTAAACTCATGTTTTCTTGTGTCTGTGTCTCAGAGCGTTAACTGACATAATTGCAATCAGCAGTTATATTCACATACGTTTTCTGGACTTATCCAACAACTACATCTCTGATCTTTCTCCTTTGGCATCAATGACTCATTTGCTTTGGCTGAAGGCAAGAAAGTCTTGACTTTATGTAGAAAGTTGCATAAGTCTGAATCATTAAATAAAACTCATACTGAAAGCAAATCTCTCTTTTGCAGGTTGACAGAAATTCTATGAAATCATTTAAAGAGCAACCTTTATCTGAGTTTACCTTTCTACAATGGTTGAGTGTGGCATCAAACCAGATTGTAGACATGGAAGGCCTGGTTGGACCGTCCATAGAGACGCTCATACTTTCAGGTTTCTCCTTTTGACGTTTATCCAGATGATTAGTCTAATATATTTAGCTAGCGTTTATATTAGTGGATATAATTAAAACCATTTCAATTGTTCATAACTCAAATAAATAAAATATGTTTGTGAAAAGAATTATGTGACACTTTGAAACTTTCTTTCAGGTAATAGTATTCAGAAAATAAACGGTTTGCGAAATGCCGATTTTGCCAATTTAGTTATTCTAGAGCTGAGGGGAAACCAGTTGGAAACAACAAGTGGCTTTGACCTTCCAAACTTGCGGAAACTATACCTGGTAATACAAAGCATTGTGATTTGGATAAAATAAGTCACAGTTTCTTTGTCAACATAATCAGTCTCTGTAGAAGTTAATGTAAAATGGTAACTGTATGTATCAAATCTGGTTTTTCCTCAGGCCCAAAACTTTATCAAACGTCTTGAGGGTCTAGAGAAGCTAGAGCGCCTGATAACCCTACATCTTCGAGACAATCAGCTTGAAACTCTGGAAGGGCTCTGTCCTGAAATGAAGAGTCTTCAGTACCTCAATATCAGGTATTGTGGTACAACAACAAACTGGTGCCTAAATATACCTTTGGGGAATCAGCAAAGTCTATGAACCTAATTTTTTTACTACCATCTTTTTCTCCCGTAGAGGAAATGCAATCGCTGAAGGAGACGCCTTACGAAGCCTCCACTTTCTGACAAGTTCCCTGAAAACTTTGGTTATTGCGGAAAATCCAGTAGTGGACGCAGTACCCTATCGGCAAACTGTACTAATACTCCTGCCTCAGCTGGAGCGAATTGACAAAGAGCCAGTTACCCTTACAGAGAGAACAGAAGCTCGGAGGACAATCAGGGTATGAATATGTTGTTGTTTTCATATCTCTTTTGTTTTTTTTTTGTTTTTTTTAATTTCAGAAATGTTTCAGCTTTTAATTGTGTGTGTTGTTTCAGGACCTTAAGGAAGGGGAAGCCGCACCTGTACCAAAAGATTAATAGAATGGGGAAAGTGGTGCTTTTTTGAAACGAGGAGCCTCTTGTGTATGAGTCAGCAACTCTGATTACAAATGTGTTTGTAAAACATGTATCTTGCATGATTAATGTTCTGATTAAGATTTCTCATATATAGAAATACAGCTAACTGTAACCATTATATCTAGTTGTTTTCAAGAAATGGGGAATTGCAGAGTAACTGACATTAAAAAAATGTGCTTTGGCTGCACGATAAAAAGGAATTTTGTGTGTGAATATTGTATGTTCAGTTTTTCCCCGAGTAAGGATGATAGGGCAGAATCTGCTACCCACACTTCCTTGTAGCCAGCCTCCCAGCTCCAAATTTAAAGGAACAGTTTCATTAGCTGTGCGTAGGCAAAAAACTTATTTAGAAACATTATCTAATGTAGGTAGGAGGAATTACACCCTTACTAATTAATATTCGTTTTATATCACTGTGTAGCCCAGTGGTAAACTGTATTTATGATGCATGTAAAAAGCAAGACGACGGAAGTGTGAATGTTATGGCGTTATCCATTTTTTTTATGTTTATAACAAAAATAAAATGGAGACATAATGATATACTGAATAGTGACATCACTGTAACAGTTGTAATGCAGTAAAATGTCAACTTATCAAATGAATATTATACTAAAAGCAAGCATACGTATTTTTATAAAATGCAGGAACACACATTTTGTCATAGTCACACACGGTTTTTACGTAATACTTAACGTAGCCCTGCAGACTTCTCTATTTGTTTAAAAATCGCTTTTGCGGTAAAATGGTGCCGAATATGGTCCTGCAAGTTTTCGATTTACAAAAGAAAGACGACTGAGGTATGCTTAACATACGCAACTTCTCTTCCTATAATGATTTGATTGGATGGGGGCTGGCCCGCCTGGTAGACATAAACCTCCCTCCGTGACAGTAGTTCCTCCTCCTTTCAGTCGTTCTATACGCTGGGCAGCTAGCAGCGGCCTTCAAGTCCAGATAGCAGCCGTGTGCGGTGTTGCATTACTTTAATTAATTCTCCAAGCAAACAAAGCGTTCCAGTTATCCTCCTAGAGACCATGGCTAGCTATCACAAACCCGACGAGAAGACTCTGCAGGGACTCAAAGACATTGCTAACAAGCTAAGGATCCACTCCATTAAGGCAACATGCGCTTCCAACTCTGGGTAAGTCGCACAAAGTTACTCTGAGTCGCTAAGGGTTAAGGAAATCACACGGAATCACTGATAGAAGATTATTACCGTAGTCGTAGCGTGCAGACGATGCACGAGCTACCTGTGGGGGCCTGGTGGCTGCACGTGCAGTAGATTATGTTCATTCGGTGCAAGTTAGCCAGAGCTAACTGCGTATTAACGAGAATGCCGCTCGGGTTGTCTGGTTTCAGGAACGCAGCAGAGTCTAGTGTAAGGAAATTCAAACCCACTAGATGGTTCATTCAGAGCCTCTTCGGTATAACGTTATATTTTAAGTTCCCCCCTCAACGCACTTTTTTTTTAATGAGCACACATAAAGTGAGTCAAGTCTATGATACTGACTTCCATGTAACCACTATCACATGCTCCTGTGTTGTGGTCTCATGCTCGTTTTCTCTCCTGGGGTTTATAATATCAGTTTATAGAATTTGGAATGCTCATAATTTTTTGTCTATTACAAATTAGGTTTTGGTTTAATTTATAAACTAGTTATGCATATCGGTAAGCTGTTTGCACACAATGTGCCTGTAATTAAATATTTCTATACTTTTAACAGTTATTTTCTCATTGTGAACGCAAAATGTTGAAAATTGAAACATAAGTATAGGTTCTACTTATTTCCCCAAATGACGTAGAGGTGCTATTTTGTCCCCACAGAATTGGTTGTCTCATTTTTGTTAATCAGGTGTTGAAGTGTTTGCCCCTCCCTTAGGCAGTAATTAATATTAACTTTTTAGACTTTTGTATTTGTATTTTTCATTTTGTTTTTGTCATACACAAGATCTGCTTTAGGGCAGGATACAGCAAAGTTAAAAACTCCCTTCTCATTTAATTAACCTCCATTTGAAAAGGTCAAATTCCCTAAAAATGTATCCTAAATCAACTAAAGGATTTAAATCAATAACATCACAATATATCTATTGTGCCATCCAATGTGTGCAATATTGTAATTGCATATTTTGTAGATGATAGAATTTCAAACTCCATGCACTAAGCTAATTTCAAACAACATTGCTTCTCCTGGATGGATGTTCTCTTACCTTTTTATGTCCACAACTGGTATAGAAAATCAGACAGGGGTGGAGAATTTTGGATGATGTAAAAGAGGAGCTGGTTGGGGGGGAAATGTGGATTATTCATAATTTATATGTTGTTTTTCAACAATAACGTAGTAGAGTCATGTTTTTGTGAAATCCGACTACCCTGCTATAAACGTAATAATAATTTTTCTTTTAAAAGAATCTGCATTCACTGTATGATGATCTTGTCCAGGTATGACTAGTAGTGTTACCATTGCAGTCTTGTACTTAAGTGAACTGTTCTTGTCCAGATTTCAAACAAATGCACCTAACAGCAAAAATTTAAAACTGGTTACCTTGTGGTTTTGGCTCCTGTGTATGAACACCAGGTAAACTATTTTTACCAAACCAGAATAGTGATTAAAATCTATTCTGCTCCTTAAAGAATTGGTGCAGATTTTTATTTTCACACAGAAAATAGCCCCATTGGTTGATGCGGGTCGAGGCATGAATACTTGAAAAGGGTGCAGCTTTATCAGTTGGTGTAGCTGAACTTTGCTCCTGCTCTGTTACATATAGTAGACTGGGTGTCACATGCATTATTTCGCCTGACTAATTCATTTAGGGGAAAGCAGGGGGGAGTTTTGACCGAGATTCTTGCTTTCTCATTTTAGTCCAGTCATTACTGAGGAGAAATTTTAGTGAAAATGTTGACATATGCATCAGTTTTATGTCATGTATAACACTTGGCAGCTACCTTTATTTATTTTTTTTCTTTTTAAATTCTTGACAAAAGAGTGATTCACTCATGGATTATACTTGTGCTGCACCCTTGACTAAGCCCTTATGCAAATTCTTTTTCTTCAAATAAAAGGCCAGTTGATGAGTCTCTTTGGGTTCCTACTTCTTCCTTCAGAGAAGGAAATAAGGAAATCTTTGTCTGAAATGAGGCTCGCACAACTTGTTACAAATCTTAAGTTTGTACTGCAACCGTTTCCTCGTTCTGACTAATGCAGAACAATGCACTCTTATTGTCTTTCTCTGAACCTGCCCTGCTTTGTTTTCAGCAGGCTCTGTCTCAACAAGTGGAAGAGTGGTAAATTAAACAACTGGGTCTTGCTTTTTAATATAAAATTTAACAGTGAATGATGTACATTTGTATTGGATTTTGTACGAGTTCCCAGCATGCTCAACATGGTACCAGTTTTAACTTGACCACAAAGGGAAGCTGAAATCTGTTGGGCAACTCGGGGTTTCTAGAAATGTTTACAATAATCCCAACCCCGTTTTAAGCAACTAACAGTTACACAAGGCTTTTTTGCAAGTTTGTTTTTTTTTTTGTTTTTTTTTTTAGCTTGAGGACATTTGTGTGGTAACCAGAGGTAGTTGTTTAAAAATTAACAAGTTATTGATTGATTGCGATGTTTTCTGATCTCAATAGGTCGTCTTCAAAAGCATTATCTGTCAACAATACAGTTGTGTAAATTTTGTGTGTTGTGGTCATGCTCTCTCATTGAACAGCAGTTCTCGTACAGTTGTTCTTTCACTATTAACATAGTGCTTTAAACAGGAAATGATTGAACTTTTTCAGACTAAACACGAAGTTTGAATGTAACATGCATGCACTGGCATGACGGTTTTGTATACTAATATTGTATCTGTGCTGTCAGCTGTCACTAATTGACTCCTTTTGATTTTGGTTCCTAAGCCATCCCTCATCGTGCTGCAGTGCAGCGGAGCTCATGTCTGTGCTCTTCTTCAACGCCATGCGCTATAAAGCAGATGATCCTCGCAACCAGTGCAATGACCGCTTTGTGCTCTCAAAGGTTGGTGCTTGATGCAAATTTCTACCCGAGAGTTGTTCATTTTCATTCAGTTGGCTGGTGATCACACCTGGGAATTGTTCTGTAACTCCCGTCAGGGTCATGCTGCCCCTGTCCTGTATGCTGCCTGGGCAGAAGCAGGTTTCGTGAAGGAATCTGATCTGCTCAACCTGCGTAAGATCGACTGTGACCTGGAGGGGCACCCCACACCTGTAAGTTTATAAAATTGTCTGGAATTTTTTTTTTTTTCTTTCAACATGACTGGGGAAAAATGTAATGGATGTAAAATGTAACTTTTCCTTTTTCAATTTACCCTGTTATATCACAGAAACTAGCATTTGTTGATGTGGCAACTGGATCTCTTGGCCAAGGTCTTGGAGCTGCTTGTGGGATGGCCTATACTGGCAAGCATTTTGACAAAGCCAGGTCAGTCTTTATTTTTTATTTATTTTTTTTTATTGAAGATCTGAATTGAGGAACAATTAAACAGTTTTCGATTCTTAATCTCTTTTTCAGGTTCAAGAACTGTTTAATTTAGATTTAAATTGTAATATTAACATCCTTTGTGTCATCTCAGCATTGCTTAAGAAAGCGGATTGTTTGTGCAAAATGACCTGAGTGTTCTCTGGGCCGTCATGTGTTGAAGGCCAAAAGGTCTCAAAACTAAGCATCTTTTGCTGTTTTAGTGTAGTGTTGGCTCCTTTATCTTTCTAAAAGGTAAATTTAAATACCATTAGTTTGCACAGTAGTGTCCAGAGTAGGCATGGACTGTTTACCAGTATCAAGGTATTTAATAAGTGATATAGTTTGCAAACTGCAAAATTCAGTCATACTATTCGTACTGCACGGACTGGATGGTGGGGCAGGTGGCCTGACTAGCGAGTGACTTTATACAATCTCAGATTTAAAGTTTTGGCATCTTTTTAAACCCAAACAATAATTCAGGACCCTTTTGACCCTACTAGCTTGTAATTGTATAGAAGCCACAAACACTTCCTTTTTTTTTCTCCTCCTCTATTCATTGCAGCTACCGTGTGTACTGCATGCTCGGTGACGGTGAGTGTTCGGAGGGATCCGTGTGGGAGGCCATGGCCTTCGCGTCCTACTACAAGCTGGACAACCTGGTGGCTATCCTGGATGTCAACCGTCTCGGTCAG